ACCCTCACCCCGGGGTCTTTTAGCAGCTATTTAAGTTCAGAGTAAAAACTTAAGAGGGGAAGGTGGCACTCACACGATGACTCCAGCTTTGCCTGGCAGGACTGGGCTGCCTCCGGGCTCGGGCTCGCCGTGCAGTGGAGGGATCCCAGCTCTTGCCCTCTGGAGCTCTGCACCACCACGCACGGATGATTTCTCCGGCTCTCGGGCTTTGCAGGTTTTAGCACCTGTGGTGATGGTCGAGCAGAGATCTGGTGCCTTAGCAGCGGTTTGCTGGCACCCCCAGCAGCCCTGCCCCCCGTGGGGAGGGGGAACGGGACTGGCACAGCCCCCATGCAGAGACGTTAAAGCCCCTGAGCTGGTGGGGGGGTTGGCAGGACTCGTGAGCGTGAGACGCGTGTGCGTGCACAGAGCAGGGACCAGCACCCCAACACTCGTCTGTATTCTAGGTGCCGCTGTTTCTGCCTCTGAAGGGGGGTGCCCAGCCTAACCCACTCGGGGAGGCCCCCCAGTGTGCCTTGCTTTGGGAATTTAAAACCTGTCTCTTCCAGGATATTTTATTAAGAAAGTTATACAAATGTTTAAAAATATGCTTATAATAATTAATAAAATGGAAAAGCTTTATTTAAAGCCAGAGGAAACTGTCCTTATTCCTGAACCAGAACCACCCCCCTGGGGCTGTGCTGGAGGGGTAGGGCTGGGGATCCCCACCCCCACTGTGACTGGGGGCTGTCACATCCCGAGACCACCCAGCAGCAACACGAGCCAGGAGCCAAACGACTGAGATGATTTTATTAAAAGGGGTGTCCCGAGGAAGCAGCAAGAGGCACCTGCAGCAGCAGCTTCCCCTCGGCATGGCCATACCGATGGCTCGGGGGCTGCTCCGACCCCATCCCTGAAGCACTGCGCAGGAGGCGGGGTGGGGGCCAGCAGGACCCCCCTTGTCCCCAGAAGGCACTGTGTGAAGAGGTGCTTGGTGCAGGGCAGCTCTAGGCAGGAGGGCAGGGGTGCCTGTCCCCAACATGTCCCCTTCCCCAGCAGGTCACTGGACCATTCCCATTCCAGCCAGGATGAACCCCCCTGAGAAGTGAGTGGGGAAGGAAATG